TGGTGCCAGCTCCTCCCTCCCGTCCTCTGTCCGTCGGGGGTGGGTTTTCCCTTGACTGTGACGTCCTAGAGGACAGAGAGTCTGAGCTGGAGTACTGGGCAGCCGCTTCTCCCTCTGTCTGTGCCATGCTGCTATCCCCTGAGGGAGACCCCGACGCCCTTGACATACCGACTCCTCGCACTTACCGTGAGGCAGTGTCAGGGGCGTGGGCCTCACAGTGGAAAGCGGCTATGGCCTCGGAGTTAGCGTCTTGGAGATCCACAGGCACCTACGTCGACGCAGTTCCCCCTCCCAGGGCGAACGTAGTCGATGGCATGTGGCTCTTCAAGGTGAAGCGGCCGCCTGGCTCACCGCCTGTGTTCAAGGCGCGCTACGTGGCTAGGGGTTTCAGTCAGCGTGAGGGAGTTGACTTCTTCCAGACCTTCGCCCCGACCCCGAAGATGACTACTCTTCGGGTGTTACTGCACGTAGCAGCACAGCGAGACTACGAGCTGCACTCCCTTGACTTCTCTACTGCGTTTCTCCAGGGCCGACTACACGAGGAGATCTGGCTGCGCCGCCCTCCTGGCTTCACTGACACCTTCCCACCTGGGACGCAGTGGAGCCTGAGACGGCCAGTCTACGGTCTCCGCCAGTCGCCCCGTGAGTGGCACGACACTCTTCGCTCCACGCTTCGTGACCTTGGGTTTTGTCCTTCCTCTGCCGACCCGTCGCTGTTTGTTCGCACTGGTTCCACTCCTTTCTTTATATTAGTGTACGTCGACGACTTGGTGTTTGCTACAGCAGACAGGGCAGCTCTGGCTCAGGTGAAGTCCGAACTGCAGAAGAGACACACGTGCACTGACCTAGGTGAACTGCAGCGCTACCTTGGCCTGCAGATCACTAGGGACAGAGCCGCTCGCACCATCACATTGACCCAGTCACACATGGTGCAGCAGGTCCTTCGGCGGTTCGACTTCCAGTTCTCCACCACACAGCCCACACCTCTTGCTGTTGACCACAGACTCACTGGCCCCTTTCTCGACGAGCCTTTTGAGCCCAGTGGTCCCTACGCAGAGCTGGTGGGCTGCCTCATGTACCTGATGACTTGTACTTGGCCGGACCTCGCCTTTCCCCTCAGCGTCCTCTCTCGCTTTGTTGCGACTGGGAGACAACGTCCTGTCCACTGGACAGCTGCTGTGAGGGTGGCGAAGTACCTGGCGACTACATCAGGCATGGGGCTTGTGCTTGGAGGGACTCAGCCAGTGGCGTTGACTGGTCACTGCGACTCTTCCTACGCTGACGACGTGGAGACTCAGCGCTCGACTCAGGGTTACTGCTTCAGTCTGGGAGCTGGTGCTGTGTCGTGGAGGTCTACACGGTCGTCGTCTGTGGCTACTTCCAGTGCAGAGGCAGAGATCTACGCTGGTGCCATGGCGGCACAGGAGCTTCGCCGGTTGACCTTCTTGCTCGCCGACCTTGGTGAGCGGCCTCGCTCTGCACCGACCTTGTACGCTGACAACAAGGCCATGATCCTCCTGTGTCGAGAGCTTCGACTGGAGAGCAGAGTGAAACATATTGACGTGAGGTACTTCCTCCTGTGAGAGCTGCAGCGACGCGGCCAGGCACGCCTGGACTTTGTGGCCTCAGAGGCCAACACTGCAGACGTCTTCACCAAGGCCTTGGCGCTTGGTGATCACCATAGGTTTTGTGTGCAGTTGGGGCTTGTTGAGGTAGGCCCTCGGTTGCTGTAGTCTTGTTGCTTGCTCTGCTTGTTGTGTTTTCATATATATATCCTATTGAACTCTTGAACTGGCCTTGTGGCCGCTTGCTTGCGCTCGGAATTTGTGTGGTGTCCTTGAGATCCACCCTGAGCTTGCCTTGTTTCTTGCTTTGACTGGTCTTGTGACTGTTTGTTCACCATGCTTGCTTTGATGCCCCTCACTTAGCCTACGGGGGTGTGTCAAATGTTGTTATTGGTTGTAGGCTGCAGTGAGTAGCACTCTAAGGAGTACAACACTCTTAGGGTTTCTATTAGTATGCCTTGCTCTCCTAAGTCAAACATTCCGTTGCATTCACTTTCTGAGACCCTGATATCGTGGGCCCTGCTTTGATGCCCCTCACTTAGCCTATGGGGGTGTGTCAAATGTAATTCTATGCTTGTAGGCTACAGTGAGTAGCACAATAGGGAGTACAGTTGTTAGGGTTGCATATTTGTACTTCTACACTTTCTAGTTTCATGATTCCGTTGCATTCCTATTCCAAGACTAACCTACTCGTGATACCATCTCAGAATAGGAATGCAACGGAATGATTGGAATTAGGGTTTGCAAGGGTACAAATAGGAATCCTACAAAAGCTATACTCTCTAGGGAGTACCTCACTGCAGCCTATCATAACATTGACATTTGACACACTCCACGGCATACGAGATCTGGCTGTGTTAAAGCTCCAGTATACATTTGTCAGAGAGGTTAAGGGTTTTACGGTGTGCCTCACAGTTTTGGGGCAACTTTTCATGTTCCTAATGATTTTGAACCCCTCCTTTCAAATGTATACCGGAGCTTAAAGAGCACCACAGACGTGCGCCCGTGCTCCCGCTTACTGTGTTTGAATTGACTCGGTGGGATCGGCTGATAACGGGGGTGGGATGTGCGCATGTACTGTATGCAGGAGTGGAGGTTAGGCTTTGGTGGGACTTGTGGGGAATGTACGGTGAATTGCATTTTGTCACCAAATGCATGCTCGAATTTCTTCTCTTTCCTGTTTTTGTGCGTTGACAGGGCGAAGCATACAGCTGGGCAAGCGTTGTGTTGACAGATGCAATGAAGCTAGCAGAAAGTAACGAGTCTAGAAACTAATTCAGTTTGCACCATAAGAGGACGTAGTTGATCGATCAGCTACAGTATATCCAGATTCTACAACAGGAGCGCTCTCTACAATTTACTCCGGCAACAATAGGGTTCTCGTTATAAATAGACGGGGGTATGCACATTATGTACTCATGCTGAGATGACACCGAGGACCCGAAGACCGAACATTATGGTGCCAATCATGAGGCCAAGAAGTCCAATCGTCCAAAATCTGCAAGTAGAGCAGGCACATTAATTGAAAGTTGAAAGGCAGGTGGGATGTGAATTTTGCTGATTTGGAGCAATAAAATGAGGGTGAGATAGAAAAAAGGGAAGTGCGGACGGTGGGGGAAAAGGGAGAGGGAGGAAAGAGGGGGAAGCGAGCGAGGGAAGAGAGTGAGGGGAAAAGGGGGGTGGAAGGTGGTCTGGGCGTATGGGGATTCTTACGCTCCATAATTTCGTGCCGCTGGGCTCCCAGTGGAGTAACCAAGGAAATAGACAATGCGCCCAAGCAGGAAGATAACCCCAAGAACTGTGGAAGTCCAGGGGTACTGCGATGGGTGCGAAAGGAATGCGGCGTTGAATGACACAAGCAGGTCGTGAAGACACAATGCATGAAGCGGGAACCCCAGGAAAAGCAACCAGCATGTGGTGTGGTGGGAGCAGAGCCACTGGCAGGCGAGAAAGGCTTACCGCAAGGCCGCTGGTGAGGAGGAACGCAAAGAAAAACGAGATATTCTCGAGAAAGTTCTGATGCGCCCTCTGCGATGCAAGGTGTGGAAAGAATAATAACAATCAGAGTCCAGCACATCCTTCTTCTCCAGAATGGCGTCTGTTTCTCAACAGGAGTGGAAATGGTCGAGCGCATGCACATGTCGTACCTGCACGCAGTTGAATTCCTTGTTATTCTTGTGAGACTCAGGCGCGTACAGAAGCGGGAATTGGACGTTGTACCTGCAACCACACGAAGAGAGTATTCACGCGCAAAATGTTCTTTGTTACTAGTTGTGTAAGATTTGCTAACAGTTGATACGGAATTTATCTCCAGCATGTTTACTTCTTTCTCGCGAACATCACGACTTCGGCGAAAAATATATGAACGATCGCTGTTGCCGCTGCCACCAACAGCACGGCGCCATGCCCCTCCGACAGCTCTAAGGCGAGTGGTGCCATGGCTTGAAGGCAGGGAGGATTCTGAGACGGAATTACAAACAAATAATCCGAAGAAATCCAGAGCGAAAATGCTACTTCCAGTCGAAGATGGTTGCCCTAGCATAGCAGCGAGAAAGGGATGTGTGTGAGAATTGCGGCAGAGATATTCCTCGAGGTTTGGGAAGTCGCGCGAGTACACTCCCACGATTGAAGAACCAACCAACTGCCACCTGCCACCTGTTTTTGGCTTAAGCGTGATAGCGAATAAACCTCCGACACTTGTGGATGAGGATTTTGGTTGTTCGCCTCTTGGCCTGTTGTAGGCACGGGCTCGGCGAAGGCTCTGCAAGAACCCGGGAAGAAAATTTCTCGCCGGCAGGTCTCTTCTCGCCACCCACGAAAGTACTCGGATGTCGGAGAGGTTCCCGCAGTGCCAAGGTGCATGGCCATGTTCGTGGATTTTTTTGACCCCCCTGCCCAACCCCAACGCAACCCTCTCGTCGTTCCACCATTTGGGCTGGGCGCAGGGGGATCAGCCTGTAGGAAGGCGCGAGTATGTTCGCCCTCCTTGATTCCGTCCCCAGTGGTGACCCCGTTGGACGGGCAGGCGATCCTCAGCGAATTGAGAACGACGTGGAAATGGTCTTGGACGGAGTTTACATTGTAACCGATGTAGGGTGACGCGAAGTAAGCAAAGGTTGAGTCCTTACTCAACACCACCAATTTTCCCACACAAATTCCAGAAGTTTAGCCGTGAATGCTTTCATCGTTGCCCCTAACGCCTCAGCCCCTGCTCCGTCACGTGTTGTAAGCAACATTTCCCGCGCCGCTCTAATTTTCCGCGGGGCTCCGCGCCGTGTTTGCGCGCTCTCCGCGCGCCCCTCTTCTTTCTCCGCACGTCTCTCGAATCGCTCGCCGTGTGCCTCGCCTCACGCGTAGCTGCATCACCTCGAGCCCTTCTCGCCGTTCGGGACCCAAGCAGGGCAGGGGGGCAGGGGGGGCAGAGGGGGGGTTGTGATGGCGCGAGGCACGGCGCGGGTGGTGCAGCAGGCGTCGAGGGAGGTGCGGCCGACGACGCTGCAGCTGGGCGTGGGCATGGTGGTGGTGGCCGTGCTCGCTAAACTCGCCATGCTCGTGAGTGGGCTGAGGATGGGGCATGAAAGCTTGGATGGGGCAATCAATGGCAGAGGCGTGGTGGGTGGTGGTGGCCGTGCTGGCCAAGCTCGCCATGCTCGTGAGTGCCAGGGGTTGGTGAGGTGAGGTTGCCATAGGGAGGGGAGGGGCATGAGAGGTTGGATGGGGAATGCGTTGAATGGCATGGGCATGATGGGTGGTGGTGGCTTGTGCTGCCATGATTGTGCGTGCACTAGGGTTAGGTGGTGGAAAGTGAAGTTGCCATGGTGCAGAGTGGGATGCGATGGGGAGTGGTATGGGGAGTGGGTTAGGGTTGGGTGGTGGCGAGAGTGACGTTGCTGAAGACGATTTGGTCAGCTTCTGGTGCACCTCGAACGTGATGCACCTCTTTGCTGCTCGACTGTGATGGCCTCGTGATAATTAGTTGTTTTTGAGACCTCTAAAAAACAACTTATTATCACGTAGCTCTATGCTGCTCCACCGTGCTGCACCTCTCTGCTGCTCTTCTCCCTCGCCTCCACCACTCATCTCTCTCCCCACCTCGTCGCGCGTCTCAATCCACAAAACGAATGCTACAGCGAGACCTTCCCCCTGCCACTGCGCATCTGCTCCTCTCCCCTCCCTCACCCCCGTTTCCTCCCCTCCCCTTTGCGCCTTAACGTCTGACCGTGTGCGGCAGTATGATGAGCCCAAGGAGACGGAGAGAGTGGCATGGTAACCTATTGCACTTATCACTTTGCGTCTTCCCCTCGTCTCCCCTCCTCTTCCCCTCCCCTCCTCTCCCCTTGCCCTGACCCTGTGAGGGCGTCAGTACGACGAATCCAGGGAGACGGAGAGAGTCTCGCGGCAAGCCGTTGCACCTACAATGTTGCATTTTCTCTCCCCTCCCCTCTCTTCCCCTCCTCTCCCCTCCCCCCGACCCTCGAAGGCGCCAGTACGACGAGTCGAAGGAGACCCAGAGGATGGCGCAGCGAGCCCTTGCACCCACCACTTTTCGTCCTCCCCTCCCCCTTTCCCTTCCCCCCTGACGCTGTGAGGGCGTCAGTACGACGAGTCCAGGGAGACGGAGAGAGTGGCGCAGCAAGCCATTGCACTTATCACTTGGCGTCATCCCCTCCCCTCCCATCCTCTGGCCGTCCCCTCCCCCTTTGCCTTCCCTTTGACGCTGTGAGGGCGTCAGTACGACGAGTCGAAGGAAACAGAGAGAGTGGCGCGGCGGGCACGCCGGTTTGCAGAGGAGCAGGAGGAACTGGAGGCGATGAGTCGGGAGGAGTGGGATGCGGTGAAAGCGGCGCGGCCTCAGACGCCCTATGAGAGCGCCTTGACTCGCTCAGGGGCACGCATCCGCACGGGATCATGGCCGTCCGTGGTAGGTGGGGTTTGATCATGGCCGTCCGTGGTATGTTAGGCCTGATTATGGCCGTTCATGGTGGGTGAGGTCTGATTACGGGCTTCCATGGTAAGTGGGGTTTGATCATGGCCGTCCATGGTGTGTGAGGTTTGGTCGTGGCCGTCCATGAAGTGTAGGTTTGATCACAGCAGCCGTCCGTGGTATGTGAGATGAGATCTGACAGAGGGACATGAGCACCATGGATGTGCGGTTTGGTCACAAGGTCCGTGTTCCCGCTGAGCGTCTTTAAATAGGCTCAGTTGTATCCGTTGACAACGGGCCGGGTTCAGATGTGTGCATGTATGTACCGTATGCGGGAATGAAAGTTTGGCTTTTATGGGGCTTGTGGGATAGGTAAGCGCTTTTGCATTTTCGTCTCCAAATGCATGCTCGTGTTTGGTTCTCTTCTCTTCCCTGTTTTGTGTGCATTGACAGGGCGAAGCATACAACTGGGCAAGTGTTGTGTTGACAGATGCAATGAAGCGAGTAGAAAGCAGCGAGAAGTCGAGATAATTGCAACACTGGATCGGTTTGTATATAGTATGTCCCAGCACGCAACTGCATACTGCCGGCACACCCGGCAATTGTGCGAACGCCGCAAACACGCACATCTCAATTATCTCGATTGTGCCAGTATGGCACAACATGTTACCAACCATTGTTGCTTCCTTCCTTCACGTCAGAGGATGCAGCATGTCATGCAACATTCTGCAGTACAGGTTGCAGACATACCGGTAGAATCTACACAACATAACATACAATACAATACAAGGCGCATCCATGGGAGACGTTTCATTTATCAACTCGAGCTGCCGTACGCTGCCGTACTTCGTTCTCAACCCACGCATAACTGTCAAAGTGCAAGCCGAATGCTGTTCACTGAAGTGAGGAGAAGTGCAAATACCAAACCCTAGAAATGAGTTGTACTACATACAACGATATTCACTATAGCCTAGCAAACAAATCATAACATTTGACAGATCCCGATAGGCTAAGTGAGGGGCGGCAAAATAAGGAATACAAATGCTCAGAAGACCAGTCAAGAGAAGCAACAACGCAAAACCTAGTGTGGATCACGAAGTCGCCACACAGAGGTCCGAAGGCCAATTCATGAGTTTGCATCGCATATATGGTAAATCGTATAGCCAAAAAATGATTATCGACTATTGTGGGTTGGGGTACATAAACCTAACCCCCAACTGCTGTACCCCATATGATACGCATCACTAGAGGCTATTTGACGCACCCCCATAGCCTAAGTGAGGGGTGTCAAGCAAAACCAAAACCGTACGGTCACAAGACCAGTCACAAAGAAACAAAGCTCAGGGTGGATCATAACATCACCACACAGTCCGAGCACAAGCAAACGAGCCACAAGGCCAGTCCAAGAGTTCACAGAGGTATATGCAAAGTGTACAAACAAAGCAAGCAGAGAACACAAGTCTACACAAGACGAGAACCTGTGTCAACGAGACCTAACTTCACACAACACCTGTGGTGGTCACAAGGCGGAACGACCTTGGTGAAGATGTCTACAGTGTTGGCCTCGGAGTCCACAAAGTCCAAGCGAGCCTGTCCACGCCTCTGCAACTCTCGCAGAAGAAAGTACCTGACGTTGATGTGCTTCACTCTGCTCTCCAGTTGAGGCTCTCGACAGAGGAGAATCGTCGCCTTGTTGTCAGTAAACAAGGTCGGTGCATAGCTCGGCCGCTCACCAAGGTCGGTGAGCAAGAAGGTCAACCAACGCAGCTCCTGTGCAGCCATGGCTCCAGCGTAGATCTCAGCCTCAGTGGTAGAGGTCGAGGAGGAACGTGTGGACCTCCACAAAACAGCTCCAGAGCCCAGGCTGAAATGGTATCCCTGAGTAGCCCTTTGAGTCTCGACGTCGTCAGCGTAAGAAGAGTCACAGTGACCAGTAAGTACGACATACTGTCTCCCTCCAAGTACCAGCCCCACGCCTGATGTCGTCGCTAGGTAATTCGCCACCCTCATAGCAGCTGTCCAGTGAACTGGACGGTGTCTCCCTGGCGCAACAAAACGAGCAAGGATGCTGAGAGGGAAGACGAGGTCCAGGCGAGTACAAGTCATCAGGTACATGAGGCAGCCCACAAGCTATGCGCAAGGATCACTAGGCTCAAACGGCTCGTCAGGAAAGGGACCAGTGAGTCTGTGGTCAACGGCAAGAGGTGTGCGCTGTACGGTGGAGTGCTGAAGCCCGAACCGCTGAAGGACCTGCTGCACCATGTGTGACTGTGAGAGTGTAACGGTGCGAGCGGATCTGTCCCTGGTGACCTGCAGGCCTAAGTAGTGGCGCAGCTCACCAAGGTCAGTGCACGTGTCTCTCTTCTGCAGTTCGGACATCACGTCAGCCAAAGCAACCCTGTCAGCAGTGGCGAAGACCAGGTCGTCAACGTAGACTAGTACAAAGAACGGTGTAGCGCCACGACGAACGAACAGCGACGGTTCGGCAGAAGACGGCTGGAAACCGAGGTCAGACAGAGTAGAGCGAAGGGTGTCGTGCCACTCACGAGGCGCCTGACGGAGATTGTAGACTGGTCTCCTCAGCCTCCACTGGGTCCGAGAAGGGAAATTGCCAGTGAAGGCAGAGGGACGACGCAACCAGACCTCCTCGTGTAGGCTACCCTGAAGGAAGGCAGTGGAGAAGTCGAGAGAGTGTAACTCGTAGTCTCTCTGTGCTGCTACGTGCAGTAACACCCGAAGAGTGGTCATCTTCGGGGTAGGCGCGAAGGTCTGAAAGAAGTCAACTTCCTCGCGCTGGCTGAAACCTCTAGCCACATAGCGCGCCTTGAAGACCGGAGGAGATCCCGGTGGCCGCTTCACCCTGAAGATCCACTTGCCATCGACTACGTTCGCCCCAGGGGGGGGAACCTCGTCGACGTAGGTGCCTGTGGATATGTAGCAGGCCATCTCTGCGTCCATGGCAGTTCTCCACTGAGAGGCCCAAGGCACTGACACTGCCTCAGCGTAAGTGCGAGGAGTCGGTATGTCAAGGGCGTCGGGGGCTCCCTCAGGGGCGAGCAGCATGGCACAGAGATGAGGGGAAGCGGCTGCCAGGAACACCAGCTCAAACTGCCTGTCCTGAAGGGCGTCACAGCCAAGGGTAGACTCACCCCCGACGGCCAGAGGACTGGTAGGAGGAGCAGTCACGACACGAGTGGCGTAGCCAAGGCGGCGAGTAGTGGCGAACTCAGTGACTGCGGCAGTAAGGGCGGAGACAGAGGACAGAAAGGCACAAGGGTGTGTAACAAGAGAGGCGAGAACACGCGAGAGAACAAGACGGTACGTGCGGTAGTAGTCAGTGACAGGAGTAGAGAGGGAAGCAGTGAGGGCCGACTCAGGAGGAGAAGGAAGCACAGACGGAGACGAACGAGGCGGACTAGAATAGAACGGAACAGGACAGTACGAAGGTCAGTGACAGGGACAGGGGACGAGGGACGAGCACGAGGAGAGCGAGAAGCCCAAGTGTGAGAAAGAGGAGGGGACAACGGAGGCTGAGAACGGGGGAAAACTGCTGGGGTGGAGTCAGGAGGAGGAAACGTGGGACCGTAGAAAGGAGGAGAGGTGAAGGAGGAGGAGAAGGGGAGGGGAGACCAAGGGCCCGAAGGCCAGAGACAGGAGGCGGAGGCGGCCGCTGCTGCTGCTGCTGCTGCTGCTGCTGCGGCTGCTGCTCCTACTGCCCCTGCTGCGGCGGCTGCTGCTCCTGCTGCTGCTGCTGCTGCTCCTGCTGCTGCTGCTGCTCCTCCAGCTGCTGTAGCTCCAGCTGCTGCCGCTCCAACGCTAGCCTCTCTCGATCCAACTCCAGCTGCTCCTCACGTGCACGGCGAAGAAGGGCCTGGTGCCGGGTCGGGTAGGGGTGGGGGGAAGGAGTAGTGTCCGGGGCAGTGGTAGCCCCAGGACCGCTCTCCAAAGCACCAGTCGCACCACCCCCAGAGCCAGCACCGCCAGCAGCAACGCGGCCAGTCCCAGACTCTCCAGGTCCAGCAGAGGGCGCACCCGCACCCCCAGTCGTAGCACCCCCAGTGACAGCTCGACGAACACCAGCTCTTCCAAGACTAGAACCTCCTGCAGACACGGCCTCAGTTCCAACTCCAGCACCCCCAGCACCAGAACCTCGTGCAGGCACACTCTCAGCTCCAACTCCAACACCTCCAGAGGCAGCACCTCCAGGGTCCGTACTACGGACACCAACACCCTCAGGGTCTGCAGCAGCCTGGGGAGGAAGTGCTGATGGCTGCTGCGGTGACTGTGAGGAGGACTGCGGAGAAGGGGACGGAACCCGAGGAGCTACCGAGGGGGGGGGGGTAGCGTGTGACACACCTGACGGGGCTGGACCAGGGGGGGGGGGGGCTCTACCGGAGGAGCAGGAGGGGGAGTGGGAGTCAGGAAGAGAGGGGGAGGAGGAACAGGGAGACCTCGACAGGGGTACCGGGTGTAGTAGGGGACTGACTCGTCAAAGCTGACGTCACGGGAGTCAAGGAACCAATGAAGGGGAGGGTGGTAGAAGGTGAAGTCAGAGGAGTCCTCTGGGAAACCAAGGAAGACACAGGAATGGCTCGAGGCGAGATCTTGTCCGCGGAGGTGTCGCAAATACGCGCCAAGAAGCCCCAGACACGAAAACGCGACGCAACACCAGGAGACCCGATCCAAAGACTGGTCGGTGAAACCCCTGGTCGGGAGACACGTGGCCAGAGGTTCAGCTGGTGAGCGGCGTACCGAACCGCGTAGGGCCACAGAAAATGGGGCGCACGGGCGTGGATCATGGAGGTGCGTGCAATCTCCATGACCAAGCCTATGCGGCGCTCAGCAACCCCATTCTGTTGTGGGGACTCTGGAAGCATCCAGGACTGGAGGATGCCCTGCTCGCGACAGAATCCGGCAAGGACGCCGGAGCGAAACTCACCCCCACGGTCGGAGTGAAGACAACTGACACGACGGTGACGAGTACCCTCTGTGGCGAGCAACCACCGGATCAGCGTAGAAGTCACGTCGGACTTCTTCGCCAAAGGGAAAACAGTGGTGTAGCGAGAGTAGTCGTCGACAACCACCAGAAAGAATCTCTCTCGCTCAGGACCGGGGCGAGAGGCGGGGCCCCAGACGTCCAAGTGGAGAGTCTCGAAGGGCAAAATTGTGCGACGCGACAGACCGCGTTTTTGTCTCAATCCCATCGACCAAGCTCGCACCGCAGGTAGGGCGACCGAACCTCGTCCAAATGGATCGACCTACATGCGCTTCCACGTTATCTTCATGCTGCGGAAGTGATTGTATTGGCGTTACAGTCAGAATCGCGAGATTACAGCCCGTGGTTTCATTATTTTGCGACCTGTTACGTCACTTCAGTCTAGACTTGCCAACAAGGCTTGTCTTAACTATTTTTTTTGTTACTTGTTTTTTAAACGGTGTTAAAAAACTAAAACCCCTAGGGAGCCAGGCACCGCTTTAAATGCATCAACCCTAAACACCTTGCAAGTTCCCGTGTTTAGGGTTGATCCCTC